TCAAGATTGGAGAAAGTCTCACTAACCACCTGCAATATGCAGATGACACAACCCTTTTTGTTGAAAGTGAAGAGAACTTGAAGCTCTTACTAATGAAGATCAAAGACCACAGCCTTCAGTATGGATTATACCTCAGTGTAAAGAAAACAAAAATCCTCACAACCGGACCAATAAATAACATTATGATAAGTGGAGAAAAGTTTGAAGTTATCAAAGACTTTATTTTGCTTGGATCCACAGTTAATACTTGTGGAAGCAGTAGTCAAGAAAGCAAACAATATATTGCATTAGGAAAATGTACTGCAAAAGACTTCTTTAAAGGGTTAAAGAGCAACAATGTGAGTTTGTGGACTAAGGTGCACCTCACCCAAAGCGTGGTATTTTCAGTTATATCTTATGCATGTAAAAAGTTTGCCAGTGAATTAGGACGACTAGAGTCATGGTGCATTTGAATTATGGCCTTGAATTATACCCAAAGCGTGGTATTTTCAGTTATATCTTATGCATGTAAAAAGTTTGCCAGTGAATTAGGACGACCTAGACATGGTGCATTTGAATTATGGCCTTGGTGAAGAATACTGAGCGCACCATGGACCACCAGAAGGACAAACAAATCTGCTTTGGAAGAAGTACAGCTTGAATGTTCTTTAGAAGTGAGATTAGAAAGGCAAGATTTCATCTCATATACTTTGGATACTTTACTAAGAGGGATCATCCCTTGGAGCAGGATATCCTGCTTAATAAAGTAGAGACTCAGCAAAGTGGAGGATGGATACAGTAGCTGCCACAGTGGGCTCACACATAACAACGATGGCAAGGATGGCACAAGACTGGGTAGTGTTTCATCCTGTGTTGGCTGAAACTGTGGGTTGGAACTGAAGCACCTAACAGCAGCAAAAACATGTAGTAGGCAATAGTAACCAAAGACTGATTAGACAGAATTAGTTTCTCATTAGATTTGATACTCATTGTCTTGTTAGCTCCAAATCCCACTTGCTGTTTATTTCAACACTATTTAACACACTGCACTCCATCTCAATGCATTCCCCTCTGTCCATAAGATCTCTGATGACTGCATTAATTTTCATTAATGTAGCAAACATGACTTATGAGTATAGTACATGTCACAGCCAATAATAACTGTTGCAAATTGTTTAGTGTTTCATTTGAAGAATGCATTTCATATCTAAATTAGCAAACTTTGCTCAAATAATTGGCTTAAAAGGTGTCATGCTTGAGAAACAAAAAAGCACTGGGCAGTATGCTTTCCTTGAAGTTCATAGGTTATAGCTCTTTTTATCCCTAAAATGCATACAGTTGCCTTGAATGGTTGTTTTTAAAAAGAAAATATTATTCTGGAATCTGTTGATAGTGGATGGGGGG